TAATGATAACAATGATGGTATTATTGGTGATAATGACGGTAAAGGTCATGGAAACAATAATGATTATGATCAATATAATAATAATAATAACAGTAATATCAGTAATGTCATCATGAACAGTAAAATGATAACAATTATGGTGATGATAATGACAGTGATGATATTAGTATTATGAATGATGATAATCACGATAATGATAAAGATAATAGTAATAATAATGACAATAATAATAAAAATGGTAATAACCATAAAGATTATGATGATGGTATTAATGATAAATATGGTAATAGTAATATTAATGACGATAATGATAATGATGATACAAATAGTAATACAAATAATTATAATTATAATAATTAAGATAATAATGATAGTAATTAGAGGCACTCAGAGTAATAATAAGTAATAATAAAAGTAACGTTTCCGTATTGATCAACATCATCATCATGTATTCATAATGACATTATCACACGCACATTCAGAAGAAAAAAAAATCTCACAGAGCATTGAACCTCTTCATGCATCGTTAACAAATCAACAAAAAAATATATTGCTTTTTTATGGAAAGATTTACATGCATATTTGTCCAGCACAGTCATTGACCGATGAATTTAAGATATATGGACAGCGGGAAACACGGACCAACCCATGGGTCAATTTATTTTCATGTGTAGTTGTTATATGAATGAAATTGGTAGTAAAAAAGATTTACCTTGCCCGTCCCCCTCCCCCACCCTTTCCTTTCCATTAACAACGATAGATACAAACATTTGCTTATCTTCCTTGTTCATGCGTATGCTTCCATGCGCAAACCAAACGCACATACAGTAATAAACGCACACAACAAACTCACATACACACAGACATCTAAACTTGTACAACACACACCCTTGTAAATAAGTTCTTTTAATCGACATCTGTATTCACACACACCCAGCTGTCCCACAACGGATCTTAGAAGGGTGAAAGATAAGATAAGATTAGCTGTCCTTTCCTTCCACTTACCTTATTTACCTCACCCTTCTTACCCTTTCCCTTCACCCTAAGAGAATCAAATTTGCAAGGAGGGGGAGGGGGGGGGTTATCGTAACAACATATGACAACGAAGGAAAACAAGGTGATTGCCTCCTTAAGCCATTTCCCTATTTTTTACTTTCTCTTGATAACAATGATCATTTTTTGTGTGATCTAGATTGTGCTAAGCACGACCTAATTCCATGATACTTTGGTGTATGATTAATCGTTTATGAAAGGATTTAAAATGGTGTCTTTTTACGAGAGATCGAAAGAGGAGCGAAGAGAGAGAGATAGAGAGAGAGAAAGAGATAAAGAAAGAGATAGAAGGAAAAGAGAAAGAAAAGACTAGAAGAAAAAAGAAAGAGATAAAGAAAGAGAAAGAACGAGAAGGAAAGAGAGAAAGAAAAAAAACTAGAAGGAAACAGAGAAAGATGAGAAAGAGATAGAAGGAGAAAGAGCAAGAGAAAGAAAAGACTAGAAGGAAAAAGAGAGAGAGAAAGAAGAAAGAAAGAGAAGGAAAGAGAGAAAGAAAGAAAAAACTAGAAGGTAAAAGAGAAAAAAGAAAAAAAAACTAGAAGGAAAAAGAGAAAGAGATAAAAAAAAGAAAGGAAGAAAGAGACCGCAAAAGAAGAAAAAAATAAAAAAACAAACCAAACAAAACTAACATAAATAATAAAAAAAGACAAACTAAAAGAAGAGAAAGAGACACGAATCACATACAGTGTTGGTCCACTGAATTGAAACCACAGCTGAAGACTTTATCCAAGGGTGTTGCGGCCAGCCACTGCACAGATGACTCGCAAGATCGGTTACCATGAAATTGAATTCAAACAGATAAAAGAAAAAGAAAAAAAGAAAAAAGAAAAAGAAAAAGAAGAAAAAAAAGAAAAAGAAAAAAAGAAAAAAGAAAAATGAGGAAATTGTGTGGGACGAAGGAAGAGAAAAAAAGGGGGAGGAAAGGAAATGAGAGGAGAGAGAAAAGAAAAAGAAAAAAGTAAAAGAGAAAAAAAAAAGAGGGTATGAACGGAGATGAAAGACAAGGGAATTATGGGATGTAATGGAGAGTGAAAAGGAGAGAGAGGAGAGGGTGAGGAAGGGTGGGAGGGAAGGAATGAGAGAGAGAGAGTGAGACAGGGGAGAAGGTGAAGGAGAGAGAGAGAGTGAGACAGAGGAGAAGGTGAGGTGAGGGAGGAAGGAATGAGAGAGAGAGAGGGTGAGAGAAAATGAGGGAGAGGGGGAAGGAATGAGAGAAGGAAGATAGAGAGAGAGGAGGGTGAGGGAGAGAGGAGGTAAGGATGAGAAAGAGAGAGACAGGGGAGAAGGTGAGGGAGAGGGAGAGAAGGAATGAAAAATGAAGGAGAGAGTGAGAGAGAGAGAGGAAGGAATGAGGAATAAGGGAGAGCGAGAAGAGAGGTGAGGGAGAGACGGAGGGAAGGAATGGAGAGAGAGAGAGTGAGAGAGAGGAGAAGGTGAGGGAGAGGAGAGAGGGAGGGAGGAATTAGGAATGAGGAGAGGGTGAGAGAGAGAGGGAGGAAGGAACGAAGAGAGAGAGAGAGAAGGTGAGGAGAGAGAAGGAAAGTATGACGAATGAGGAGAGGTGAGAGAGAGATGAGAGAGAGAGAGGGAAAGACGGAATGAGGAATCAGGGATAGGGTGAGAGAGCGGGAGAGGGAGGGAAGGAATGAGAGAGAGGAGAGGGTGAGGAGCGGGTGAGGGAGAGAGAAAGGAAAGGAATGTGGGAAAGAGTGAGAGAGAAAAAAGGGGAAGAGGTGAGGATGAGGGAGAGGCAGAGAGGAAAGGAAGGAATAAGGGAGGGAGAGAGAGAGAGAGGGAGAGAGAGAGAGAGAGGAGAGGAGAGGGAAAGAGAGAGGTGAGTGAGAGACAGAAGAATAGGGAGAGGGTAAATTAGAGGACGGGAAGTGGAAGGAAGGGGAGGGACAGGAGAGAAGGGAGAGACGAGAGAGAGAGAGGGAGGAAGAGAAATGAAAAAAGGGAAAGGAGAAAGGAATGTAAGAGAGAGAGGGAGAGAGGGAGAAGAGAGAATAGGAGAAGGAAGGAAGGAGGGGGAGGAGGAGAGGAGAGAGAGAGAGAGAGAGAGAGAGAGAGAGAGAGAGAGAGGAGAGAGAGAGAGAGAGAGAGAGAGAGAGAGAGAGGAGAGCGAGAGAGAGCGAGAGAGAGAGAGAGAGAGAGAGACAAGAGTAAGAGAAGAGTAAGAAAGAGAAAAAGAGAAAGCGTAGAAAAAGATAGGAGACACAGCAAAACAGAACCAGAGAAAGAGAGAGTTGGAATACAATCTACCCATATTATTACTATAAATAAATCGATATTTAAAGTAACAGAGAGAACAGACGCAGTTACGAAGTGGGAAAATATAGAAAAAGAGAGAGAGGGAGAGGAATGTGGGAGAATATGCTGCGTCTGACGGAATTGAAACAGTGTCATTAAATTCACTCTTCCTCCGAGCTGGACCAAATTCCCAGTGAAGCAGAGCGCGTTTTTTTTTTTTTTTTTTTTTTTTTTTTTTTTAATTAGACCGTGCTCGATCCCATTCTAGAGAGTTATCAGATATTTGATATTTTTTCCTTTTTTTCTTTTTTTTTTGAGAGAGAGGTGGGGGTGGGGGTGGGGGGAGAATTCAAAATGAGCAATCTTGTGTAGGAATGAAAGAAAATGCCGACAGAACACTCAGGCTTATGGATAGAGCTTACGTATAAACGTCGTTTGTAGTTACTGAAATATTTTGAGTGGTTTACAAAAAGGCTGTGGCATGTGTCTGTGATTTCTGTCCGTGCCTGGCAACAGTGTATTCTGATTGCGGACATCGGATTTTACACTATTTGTTGTCAGTAAAAAATATGAGAAAATATTATTCTCGTTGTCGTGCTTTTGGTTATATGTGTTCTTTACCTTTAGGTGTGCGAGCCCTAACGAAACACACCGCACGCTTGCAGAATTACAGTCAAAGCTGTATTTGGTAAGTGCAGATAAAATCAGCAATAGCAATATTTTTAAAGCTAGTTGTCCATGAAATAAAAAAAACAATGTTATTTTGTTTTATGATGCGTTTTGTGAGGACGTTGAACCCTAAGACTGGATCACCGAGCTCCAGGGATTCGATCGAAGCAAAGAACAGCTGATCGATATCAAAAGTATTCACAGAGAGGCCTGAACACTAATTGCGGCTCTTCGTAAGATATTATAAATGAATAATCACCAAAAGTCTAATCACGAAAGTTTTGTTTTTGATATTATTTTTTTTTTTTTATAGAAAGGTTCTTTGATCATCAAGGAAAATGTGCTTCTGTGATTATGATCCGTTATTTACGAAAATGTTTTTTTTTCGAATAATGTACATCCCGGAATCTCGCAGGATCTCTTACAGATATTAATGATTTATATTCATCAATATCTAAGTCATTATTAATTGTATCGTCTCTCTCCATTATGCTTCGAACAGATTCACACCGTTTCGTATCATCACGCAGGCCTTCGGACGCGTTCGTACACACGCACGCAGCTCACTGATAATGTCATGATTATCTCGTTAAGCGGAGCGGCACTTTGTAAACAAAATATCAATCTTTTGGTATCTTGTTTACTTCTTGTTGCTACTTCATTTATGCAGGACCCAAAAATTTAAATGATTTTCCAAGGAAGAGAGAAACGGAGTTTTGTCTTTTAAGATGAAGAATAAAATATATTTCTTTTCTGCGCGCATTACCGCTTTCAGCTTTTTGTTTCCTTTTCAAGCACCGGAATCCTGCATCATCTTAACAAGACTAACTGTGACATTGCAAGTAAGAAATCCTCGGAAGCGAGCCTCGGGAAAAAGCATTTTGCAACTCTCTTCATTATGGCTGGAGAAAGACTTGGAATATTTTTTGCTTATTTCTCCATGCATTTGCAGCTGCTAACGGCTACGGAGCTTTTGCAATTTTAATCTTACTTCTATGACAAGATATTCCATCCTTTTTCTTTTCTTT